GGACGGGACGGCTGCCGCCCTCGGCCGCGAAACGGAACGCAAGCGTCACGTAGCGGCCGTTTTTTGCGGCTGGCCGGGCTCTCCTGCCCGCCCCCCGGAGCCGCGGCGGTGCCCGTCCAAGCCTCCGCGGCAGGTCGGGCGACGACCACGCGACGGGGGGGGCTCTTGCACGGCTCGGCCCCCTGACGGCCGCCAAACTGGAGGAGCGCTGGGTGGCTAGAATCTAAAGCAGATTTCAAAACACCTCATTAAGCACACACACAAATGAAATCCTCACAGTGCCGGGGGAAGCAAACATGAACCAGAGGGTGTTTAGAGCTTTCAATGTCTGTGCAAAGCGAGGAGGCTGACGGCTGGATTTCCCTTTAGTGCGTATTCTTTCTCTTCCTCTCTTTCACCCTGCCCTGGGCCTTAGGATATCGCAGGGTCCTTGGGTTTGGACTGCTCAGTCCCTGACAAGAGGGAGATGGTGGGATCTTCCGAGTACTCGTCTCCGTCCGTGAAATACGGCCCTTCCCCCAGCTCAAAGAATATCGGCAGGTCTCCGCTCCCCATGTCGACGGCGCTCGAGTCCACCAGGAAGAGGGGCTGGGCCGTGTAGTGCACCAGCTGCTTTCCTGCAAAGAGAGAGTTTGCACGAGGGTAGCACCTTTCGGGAGGAGGGCAGCCGGGCTGGGCAGGAGGGCCAGCTAACCGAACGCCGGGCAGAGGAACAAGAGCGACAAGGCTTCGCTCTTGAAACCGCCAGCATGGACTGCTTCCTCGCTACTTGCAAGAAGAAGTGCTCCTCGCCACTCAAGCGATGAGACGCCAGGGCTTGGGCAAGGCCTTTTGGCACATCAGCAAGGAACAGGAATTTGACCTTAGCAGGGTTCCAGCCCACGCTCTGGGACATGCAGTGAGGGACCAGGGACTTTTCTGTGCCTACGTGGACGCAGCCTGACCAGGCTGTGAGATGCAGAGCCCACAGCTGGGTGCTGGGGTGGCTGCCATGAAGGAAGAGCAGCATCGCGACAGCCCACGCGATTCCACGCAGACAGAAACCCCACGAGGGCTGGGGCCGGCAGGGACCTCGAGCGTGTCTGGTCCGACCCCCTGCTCGGGCAGGGTCAGCCGAGGCCGCCCAGGACCGTGTCTGAACACCTCCAAGGGTGGAGGCTCCTCAGCCTCTCTGGGCAGCCCGCGCCAGCGTTTGACCACCCTCACAGTAAAAAAGCGTTTTCTCGTGTTCTGATGGAATTTCATGTGTTTCAATTTGTGCCATGGCCTCTTGCCCTGTCCCTGGGCGCTGCTGAGGAGAGCCTGGCTCCCTCTGCTTCGTTCCCTCCCATCAGGGGTTTAGAGATACAGCTAAGATCCCCTCCGTACTTTCCCTTTTCTAGGCTAAACGGTCTCATCTCTCTCAGCCAAATATGCTTTTTGGGAGGAGAAATGATTTTGCCACAGCCTCAATTCTCGTGCTACTGAGTCACTCAACGCCGAGACGGCTGCCTCGTACCTGTGTCTGCTGTGCTGGCCTCTGTCTCAGTAGGTTTCTGCTGTTCCTGGGATGAAAGGAGATCCTGAATCTGCAGGGAGAAAGGTTGGGTCGGTAAGTGCGCTGCATGGGTCAGACGTGCGTGGGTCCTCTCTGTGCCCGCCTTGGGACTGACCCAACACACACACTGCGCAAAGAAAGCCGCGATTTACAGTCTCGAAGCCGCACTGAGGCAGAGAGAGACCTCCTCAGAGGTTTACAAGGTTGTCAGTGAGCCCGCACGGACCCAGATGCAGCCTGTGCGGAGCGCTCCAGCTCCCAGGTCGCAAACGTGGCCGGTTCAGACAGTGCACGACTCCCCAGACCAAACCTGGTTTCACAGATCCTCTCTTCTATACGCAAAGGTCCTGCTCTGCAGTGCTCCCTTCGATCACAGCACGAAGCTTTTCTGCATCTCGGGATCTAAAATCCCAGGGAAAGCCTTCAGCACACGTTTGTAGTGAGCCATTTCATTTTTTTAAATTTATTTTTAGCCTTCAGCACACGTTTGTAGTGAGCCATTTTATTTTATTTTTTTAAATTTATTTTTATTTATTGACAGTCTTATTGCAACGAAAGCACCTGAGAGCTGCAGGTACCGGCAAGCTGCCGGAGTGACCCGGGCTGCGGCTGAGGACACGATCCCGTTTCACACCCCCCGTCCCACAGGCACGACCGGGCTGGAAAGGCTGAGAAGTGAGTGTTAAAGGGAGAAAAACTTTGGAAGCGGGAGAAACCGCTCTGCCCACCCGAGAAGCTCCGCTCGCTGCAAAGTCAGGAGGGAAGCCCTGCCAGCCCTCAGAGCTAACGTCGTCTGGGGAACACAGCGCTGAGCCTGCTAATCCCAGACCGCTGAGCAGGATTCTCCACGCGTGCTGCTGGGAGGACAACGCTTGAGCAGAGGCTCTCCTGTGGGATCGCTTTCCCTCTCTGGATTTACAGTCAGCTAATAATCCCGTGGCTACTCATTACAGCAACTGCTGCCATGGAAAAGTCACCTTAGCAAGTATTTAAATGTGTACCCAGCATTTTTTGCTACCACTTAAGCAACTGGCATTAAGTAAAAGCAGACGGGTTGTGAGCACACAGGTCTGTCTTCACAGACCGTCTGGCCACAATTTAGGAGCCCTGCAGCTCAACCCACAGCCAGCACGGGGATTTTTGTAGTGTGAAGGCTGGGTGAAGACAAAGCCCAAGAAAACACTCCTCCCAACATCAGAGGAGAAGAGAAAAATAACGGACAAGTGACCTTGATCCAAACGCTACCTGAGCTGAAGAGCTAAGCTGTGGATTTCAAAGGACACCAGTTAAGGCTCCTTTAGTAAATCCTGCTTCCAGATTTTCTACGGTGTAACTCTCAGCCCAACGACACGAAGTAATTAATTTCTGAACTACTGAATTTTCACTGTTCATGTTCTCCCAAATCCCACTAATCCCTTGCCCTGCTCTCCCTGCCCAGCCAGCCCCAGCCCCAGCTGCTGCAGCAGAGCCTCGGGTCAGTAGGAAACGTGGTTAAACAACTTACGGGGCAGGTGTTTGTCTGCGCATGTGTAAAACAGTGCTCTGCACCTTTGCACTTCCCCCTTCAGCCCTTTTTCCCTGCAAATATCCCAGGAACTTGGCTAGCCATCGGGTGTCTGCGTCACACCACTGGGCAGGAGGAAGAAGCAGAAAGGCAGAGAAGCGTCCAGCGAGAGACACGCACCCGAGATGCTGCGGAATTACTAACTGTGAACTCCCGTTCTGTATTTTACCCCACATCCCAGGCACGCTCCACCCCGACAGACCTTGTGGGACACCCGAGATGCTGCGGAATTACTAACTGTGAACTCCCGTTCTGTATTTTACCCCACATCCCAGGCACGCTCCAGTGCAGGGTAAGGTGCACCCCGACAGAGCTTGTGGGAATTGTTTTGCTTAGGGAGAAGCCACAAGGCCCCTGAAGGTGTACTTTGGAGAGGGGCACGGTGCCGTCCGTGCTCTCCCTGCTCCGTAACACCGGCATTAACACCTCCTTCACAGCCGTCCCAGGAGCATGCGTTGCATCACCTGTGGGCCCACAAGGTCCCCAGCAAGGAGACTAAATTTGGGCTTTCCTGTTTTGCAGAAACTTTCAAGATGTTTCCTGTTCTGCACTGGGGGAAAAAACACAAGATCCCTTTGTGCTTTTTCAGATTGGAAAAAAAAAAAAAGTAGTGGGGGGGGAGAAGGGGTTAGATAGCCGAGGGCTTCACAGCCGTCCCAGGAGCATGCGTTGCATCACCTGTGGGCCCACAAGGTCCCCAGCAAGGAGACTAAATTTGGGCTTTCCTGTTTTGCAGAAACTTTCAAGATGTTTCCTGTTCTGCACTGGGGGAAAAAACACAAGATCCCTTTGTGCTTTTTCAGATTGAAAAAAAAAAAAAGTAGTGGGGGGGGAGAAGGGGTTAGAGACTAGCCGAGGGTCTCTTGCTCACTCTATCAACTGGACCAGGAGTCCCCTGCTTGGTCCGATCTGGACCAGACTCACTCTCCTGCACTCACGGCAGCGTCCAAGCTGTTTTTTATCTCGGTCTCCCTCTCAGTTGTTCTCACGGAGTTGTTCCGTTTTGTGCAAATACCGATACGCGTCCCTCCAGCGCTGCAGCCCTGGAGCTGGAGCGTGCACGGAGCTGGCACAACACCGGAGCCTCTGAACCAGGGCAGGGAGAAGGTCTTGGCTCTGCCCCAGCCCGGGAGCACTCCAGTCATCAGGCTACTCTGAGGGCCTGGGACTCTCCGGTTTTGACCGTAACTTCCACCCTGCTGCTCCAAGCGCCTTCTCAGCGCGGCCACGAAATGCTGTGTTTGACTAATCATCATTCTCTAGTGAAAAAAATCATTTTATCAGGCAACACTGGCTCTTGCAAGGGGAGTCTGTGTTAGTGCCTTGCATGGCGTTCAGCGCTGACGATACGCAAGTAAATAAAATAAATAACACAGCACATGATGGAGTTTGCCTTGAGAAAACCTCCTGACGATTTAAGAAAGTCAAAAGGAAGGTTTATGGAAACCACATGCGGCTCTCTAGGCTTCAGTGCACTTCCACGTTCAGGGGGCAGAGCTCACATGAGGGATGGAAGTCTCAGCACCTAATTAACCGAGTATGAATGATGAAGTAGCCCTGCTCTCCGTATGAGCTGCTCAGAGAAAGCCGCAGTGCTAATTGAATTATTTCCCCCCGGTGGCTCCCCAAGCCTGCACAGGGCTCCGCGTTCCTCCTCTCTCCCACATCCCCTCCCTTCGGGCTGGGGCTGGCCTGGACACTCTTCAGAGGCTGTCAGAGCCCTCCTTTAATCACACGGAGAGGCTGCTGCAGAACAGCAGGACACACTTCATTCTGGCAGCTGTGTGTGCATGGAGGGATTTTTAACAGCTACTCACACTGGCAAGGCTGCTGTCCAGGTCGGGAAGGTTCATGTCTGTAACCGTCATTGAAGGGCTAAACAGCTGCCAAAGGAAAGAATGATTAGTGTAGGGAAAGAAAGCAAACCCAGGCGTGCTGTGGAAATTCATGGTTGAAGCTACCGTGGTCCATCTGCCACTGCAAGCCACACGCACATGGTACTGCGAGACGCAGCTGGGGCCCGGCTCCTGGAAGGACAGGCAGGAGGGAGGAGATACTCACGTCTAATAGTGCGCTTGTGTCTACGCTGAAGCCGTGTGTGGTCAGCATCGTCTGAAGGTTATCCAGGTTGGAATCGATGGTGTCCAGATGGTCGTTGAGTTCATTCCTGTGCAAAAGACAGAGGAGCGCAGGCGATCAATGCCGAGAAGCCTCTCCCGGGTTCTGGGCTACTAAGGGGACTTTATCCACCCCAGGGCTGCAACCCTCCTACAACCCGAGCAGGAGAGCGGGGCTGGGATTCCTGGCTCTGCACGGATGCCAGCTCCCGCTGCCAGCGAGCTCAGGTGTGCTGCTGTAGCACTGCAGCGATGCTCTCTCCCTCTCTCCACCTCGTCCTCTGGCCTGAGCCTGGAGACACCGCTAGGACTCTTCTTCCCGAGAGGCCCGAGGGTGAGCAACCCAGACGAATGAGACACGGTGAATTTCTTACGAACCCCAGGATTTCTGCAAGCCATTTAGGCTCTGTGGTTAGGGGCTCGGTAACCACCAACCACCGTGGGCTGGCAGGGATCTCGGTGCAGCTGCGCCTTTACAGTAAGTAGCTTTGGACCCTTTTTCAGTCCAAACACAAGGACCGCCTCCGCTCGTCACATCCCGGTTGCAGATATGTGACAAAGAAAGGGTAACAACTTGCTTTGGGGGAGAAGTTTCGGAGGGGCCACTGCTGGCCAGAAAAAACCTTCACATCTGAACTGGCAACGGGGAAAACATTATTTGTTCATCGGGAGATGCAGTTTCTAGTAACAATGGAGAGAACTAAAGCTGCCTCCGTGTACCTGGGGAAACAAACCTTCCCACTGCATCCCGACCTGCGCACATCCCTGCACGGCTCCTGGCAGCACCAGTCTACGTGGTGGGGCACGGGGGGGGAGAAGCACCAAGCTCCCACGTACATCACAGCTCACTTGCTGGCAAACAGCAAGTCCAGGATGAGGACTAACAGTGTAATTCATCTCAGCTAACTCTGCCACTGAAAGCTGGTATCTTGCCAAGGCCAGGCTCCCTCCGTAGCCACCCGAAAACTGGACGCTGCGCTGGGATGGACGGCACTGAGGTGCCAACCCCACAAGCCAGGCCGTAAGACAAACCAGGCCAGCTCCGAGGACACGGCTCGTTCCCTCCCACACAGTTCTGGGATAACTTTGCGGACCAAGGTGGATGGCAGAGCATGAGCAATCCTGCAAAGATTGCTTTTAACTGACTTAGACCTCGGGCTGCGAGACTGAGCTCCAGAGAACGGTCATCTGGATCACAGAAGGACAGCAAGGGCTGCAGAGGTGATGGTGAGGTTGGGAACTGACCCCACACCCTCTTAATCGCTAGTTCCACGGTGCTCGTGGTGTTTATGTTCATGATGCTTCAGAGTAATAGAAGAAAAGTGGATGACATAAACCTCATGGTGCTACCAAAAAGCCTACAAGGCTCTCTGAAGAGCACTCGTGGGAAAAAGTCACGTTTGTTAGTAGCCCGGGGTCTGTCCCCTGAAAAGCCCCTGAATTTGGCAACATTAGCAGTAGCAGGTTCAGTTTATTGCACAGTCGTCAGTTCTGGCGTGGCCTCGGGTTCGATCCACCATGTTCTCCGTCCTAGAAAGGCTCTTTTTGGCTACTGAAGGTGCTCACGGGGGACCAGCGGTGTAGGTCCCACACAGGGAGACCCAGAACTGGCAGGTGAAGAGGAAGATGTCAGAGAGGCACAGGCAGACGTGCACAAGCACAAGGCACACAGTGAAGCTGCAGTTTTCAGTCTCACGTGAATTAGAAAAACGCCAGGAAGCTACTTCTCTTCTTGGAGGGTCTGTACCTGCTGTGGAGTCTGTCCCCCCCCAAATACCACTGCCACCAGCATTCCGCAGAGGAGCATTTCTGCGATGATCTCTTTGGGAGACTGACCATCCCCGAGCCCGCAAACACCCGACTGCGGGGGTACGGACTCAGCCACAGCACGGGCAGTTCCAGGTCCCTGGACGGCTCAGCTGCCCACGGGCCGGTGCACCTCGCACGAACCTCCCCGGCTTGCCACTCCAGCGCTTTTACATTCTCTCGTCCTACAGCAGCACCACGAAGATTACAAAATCAAGTCTATTTTGTCACTGCTGCAGAGAACGAAAAGAGGCCGCAAGGTCACACTGCAGCTCAGAAAGCCTAGCAGCAGAAACGAGCATCCTGCCAGAACAACAAATATCCTCATTCTGGGAATACTGTGCTTGGGGCCACAGGAAAGCTGGCTGCAGACGCAGCCCATGAACACATTCCTGCCTTACCTCTCCCGTGCGTGCAAGCGGGAGCTGCAGAGATCTGTAACTCTTTTTTAGAGCTAAGATCCACGAACATACTGCACATAAATTACTTATCCAAGTTTGTGCTTTTAAATGACTTCCGAGGTCCTCACTGCACAGCGCCTGAAATGCTCTGACAGATTTAAGATACTTTCGGCAATCCCACGATTAGGAACATCCAGCAGCGTGGAACGGGCCAGCCCCAGCCAAGGTGTCATGAGAAACCCCACCCGTGACAAGCCGGTCCTTCCACCCCGAAGGGGATGGGGTCCAAGCAGGGGTACGATCCAGATCACGCAAAAAGTGACACTGGCATTAGACTACTAACAAACTCCAGACCTTCGAAGCAAGTCTCCCTGTTTCTTTGCAGAAGGAGAGAAGGGGCCCCCGAACCACTGCTTTCGATGTTGAACTGGAAATTGGTAGTTGCCGTCTGGTTCCCAGCGCTGCCGGCAGGTAACTCTCCCCGCAGGTCCTGCTCTGCTGTGCTAAGCTACATCCAACACCAGGCTAGGTTCGCCATCAAAAAATGCTCACAGAGCAGGGAAGAAAGAGGGAGTGCGGTTCTCTGGAGCAATACAGTTTCCCTTAGCTTTCCAAGTGCGTTGTGGGTTGAAGCAAGAGGAACCGGTGTCTCCAGGAGAGGTAAGAGGTTGCTGCACAAGGCACCGAGATGCAGGGGGCTGAAGGTAAGGTCTGTGCCTGTGTCCCTAAAGCCCGGCAGCCCCAAAGGAGCAGCCTGAGCCAAGTGTGCTGAGGAAGGAGGCCAGGAGCTCTCCGTTCCCCTGAGACAGGCCAGGCTCTGAAGGTGAGGAGACCATCTCCAGTGCTGAGAGATCAACACCTTCTCTTCAAAGCTGATACTCCAGTAAAAGGCCTTCCCGATGCCTGCAGCCCACGGGAAGAGCAGGGCACGCTTTCTGGGAATGGAAGAGCCAGCAGCAGCACGTGCTGCAGCGTCTGCCACCCCCGCAGCACCAGGCTGCATCAACCGGGGGAAGAGACAGGGAGCTCCGATGCGAGGGTCCCACCGAATCGCTGTGTCCCACGTAACCCGCACCAGGCCCCGCAAACTAACGGCAGAATCCCTGGAAAATGTGACGGACACCGGACTGGTGATACAGGATTGGCGACGCTGACACAGAAGAGCTTTGCCTGTCCCCAGGTATGCGGATGTGCAGGGAAAGGGGGACTGGAGAGATTTTGGAGGTAAAGAATAACCCTGTCCTAAGTGCACGCCCCGGCTCTGCTTTCCCTGTCACGCCGACCATCCCCACACTCAGTGCATCTTTGCGGCAAGCTCCCCGGCTCTCGCTCCGCTTTCTGGCTGCCAACCACCTCGCAAGAATAACAAACCCCGGCTACGCAGCGCGCCTCGCTCCAGCGCCGCTTCCTCGGCTCCCGGGGCGGCCCCGCAGAGCACGGGCTCTCGTGAGACCCTCGCCGTCTGAGTTTCCATCTGATGAAGTGATGAAAGTCAGCCTGCGTGGTGTGGTCTCGCTCTGTGTGGGCTGGTTTACAGTCTGAGAAGTAGCTATGTAAAAATAGCACCTTCTTACTCAACAGATCTGCTCTCCGTGGGTCTGCCTCTCTTCCCCAGCAGAAAGATGTGTTTAATACCGATGCCATGGTGGCCCTGGACACTGGGTGAACGAGCCAGGGCGCGCTGTGCCAAACCCGCTGCCAGGGAAGCCCCGACCATGCGATCCTTGTTATGACTGATGGAGGCAGCAGAAAGCAGGCGACCCACCTCTCCCTCCGCCGGGAACCAGTTGAGCCGGCAGTCGGGAGCAGCAGCTTTTTATCGGGGAAAAGGCACATTTTGATATGGACGCTGATGAGAGAACTCCATCTGCCAGTCGCCCGCGATGCCTCCAGCGCTGCCTGCTGCTGCCCCTGCATGCGCGTTATGGCAATGCAGCTGCCTGCAAGCCCAGCCAGTGCCCAGCACCACTGCTCGCGCCAGTGTGATCCACGGCCACGACAAGAACGTCCTTCCCAGGAAGGACCTGGAGCTCCCGTGGAGCTCCTGAGCTCCAGCGCACGGTTCTCCGATCTCCGTCAGGCGCAGTCAGTGCTTTAGCAGGGAGCAGCTCCCAGCGTCACCAGCCTGGCTCCCCTCCCTAGCAGAGCTGCCCGTCCCTTCTGATCCTCAACCCTACGAAGTACGGGCTGCTGGCTGTTTCCCAGAAACAGCTGACTGGGCACCAGACACTTCTAGGTGACAAGCAACCCCCAGTCCTCTGAATTTGAAGCACTGAAGACGTACAGAGCTGTTTTTCTTCCCTGTATTGCTTTCCTTTTCAAATGTTCCATTTCCTAAAAGCAAGAAGACAGAGCAGCTTTGCAACGATTATCACATTTACGTAGGGAAAAAGCAGTCCCCTGGACCCTGCACTCTCTCCAGGCCATCATGCTGCTCTCTGTTTGTACCTGGGAAATGGGCTCGGGGTGTAGGACAGCAGGGCCCGGGTCCCACCAGCCTGCAAACAACAACCAGAGCCATAAGCAACGATTCCTGCAACGACCACCTCTGACATAACCCTTGAGGGGGAGGCGAGACACCAATTCAGAAATGCATTTTAGCTCAAGACATATTACATTTGTCTTTTGCATTATTCTGTGTATTAGCTAAAAGTATTTAAGGGCAATACTTCAGACAGTTTTTCCTAGGTTCTGTGGGAGACAGGATACTGGCCTAGCTGGATTTTGTCCTGATCTGGGATGTTTTTTATTAGGGAAAAGCTTTATTAGAAAAGCATCTTGGTGCGCAGTCAGGTTTGCAGTGGGAAGTTTCATTGTTCTGTCATTATCATAGAAACGGAAAATGCATCAGAAAAGTCATTTCAGCCCTGAGCTCCCATCGCTTTCCAATGCAACACTTTGTTACTGAGGTGTGTGAATTTTGTGCTGGCAAGAGACACCAAACCAGCAGCTCTCAGGGCTGAAGTTTCCATTCATCAAAACCAGGTACAGCATGGACAACAGCAGAGCAGACTTCCCGCCCTTCCCTGCCAAGACCACCTAAAAGGATGAGAAGCAGCTTAGCCTCCGCTGGCCACTCAATATTTTTAGTTGCTGTGTTGAGTTGGCCAAGAAGTCTGCCACTCAGTGCCAATTTTTAGAGTGAGCTTTTTCCTTGTTGATGTACTACCTATAACGTTAGGAAAGCTGACTTCAGCGCACTGACAGCTCCCTGCTTACTGCAGTGTCCCCCTGCTCTCTCGCCCAGAACTGCAACGCTTGGGGACAGCGGCTATTGAAATGCTAACCCTTGCTGTGATCTGCAATGAAGTGAGGAAGAGGAAGAACTGGGGCAAAGACGAGTGACCTCTGACATCTGCGAAGTGCGAGTCAAACTGAAAAATACAAACAGAAGAGGATACTAGATTCAAAAGACTCACAATCAGGCACTTTCAGGAATGAAACGTTTGTTACGTTCAAAGGCAAGAACAGTTAATCGACCATGCTCCTGCACTTCAAGCGGCGTGGTAGGCACCGCACTGCAGTCACGGCACTGCAGCGCTTTTGAAGCGGGCAAGCAGTTTCAGGCTGGCAGAGTTGTTATTAACAACAAAAAACAAACACGAAAACACACAGTCCTGCGAAAGCAAGTGAAGACAGCACAGGTTCGTTGCAGCACAGCCAAGCTCAGTTAGAAGTTTCTCAGCAAGACAAACTACTTCTGATGTGGCTCTGCTTATGTTAACTCCTGCAGGGTGGCACTGACACGGGGACCACGGTCACTGTCACCTCTAACAGGGCGCCAAAGCTCTGGGAGAACACAGGCGCTGGCACACAACGCCCCGTCCAGACAGGGAGTGACCTGCTGCTCGACGGAATACATACGTTACGTTAGTAATGGAGGTGTCAATGTTTTTCAGCACGTAGGGGGCTTTGGCTCTTGTAAAGCGGCTCACGTAGGTCCCCCGGCTGGATGGTGGATAATGTTTGGGCAACACCGTCAAGCGTTTCCATGCAAACATTCCCTTTTATTGCCTGAATCTTGGTACTGTCACCTGCTGCTAAAATGCTGTTGGTCGCACTGAGGTAATTCTCAGTTCAAATGAAAATCCCTTGGACAAAGGATGTCTTGTAGATTAAATAACAGCCCGCATGGCTCACAAAGAGGCACTGCATGCCACGACCTGCAGTCTTACGGGCTGCTCTTCTCCAGTAAATTTGAGAACAACTGAAACACGCTTCATATGATGAAAAACAGGTATCGCTGAGACTCCTTGGCAGGCTGTCAGTGCCTGGGTCAAGTGAGCGGCATTTGGGCACCCCTGCTGCACTGTAAAGTCACCTACCATCAGTAAACACTTCCCTTATTAGCTGCATCTCAACACAACGAGCAAACTCCTGGGAATTTAACAGAAGCCTCGGAGAAAGGGCGCTGCACAGTGTCATGTCCTTGGTGCAGCGCACACAGCGCACCAGGACACGCAGCTTGTTTGGCCCCAAAGCCTGAGGAGCGAGCACCGAGTGGTGAGCTCTGACGGCGGGACGGGGCACACGGCGAGGCCGCGTGCCTTGGCACGGGGCGCTGAGAAGACTCTGAAGCAGGGTCTGATACACTCCCGGGGACGTGACAAGCAGTGTGCTGCCCATCTAAAACAGCTCATTGCCAGCATTTCCATTCGCAGGTCATCCCTTCTGCCTTTCAGTATCTCAGTGCAATTCACGCTCTGGTCATTCCACTTCCCACTGGGTACCTGCGACTGCTGGCCGGCTTCCACTCCACTCAAGTGGATGCGGAGTAGCTGCAGTGACATTGGGAAAGGAGCCGAGGCCTCGGCACGCTGGGCATACGGACCTCCTTCTCTGAGTTTATATTCCTCTGACATAACAGGATACACGGAGTTCAGTAACCCCAACGAACAAAACTGCACGCGGAGATGCTGAGGCACAAAGCTAATGCCATCCAAACCCAGAGGAGAGCGGAGGCTGGGGATTCCTTTTATTATTTACACTTTGCCTTCAAATTCCCCGGGGCAGGGACAGATTTTCTGTTAGATGGTCACACTCTGTCTAGCGCTGTGCACCCACGGGGTCGACCACAGTATGCTACAACTCTTCTTTTACAAATTCATGTGGCAAACGGGCTAGGAGCTGAGAGATGGATACAGGACTACTGCATGGCTGGGAATCCTTACTGGCCAGATTCCTTCCTTCTGGAATGCCCTCTAAAGGAACTGCAAATAGAAGAGAGAAGCACAGTGTCGCTTGCGAAATGCGGGAGTAAGAGCACCAAAAGAAGAGGAAGCACAAGCCCTTTCTTTTAAATGGTTCTAAGAAGCTTTCCAAGACGAAGCGTGGAGCTCAGTCTCCGCAGGGGCAGGGGGCAAATGTTTTCTGTGTCCTTTGCCTGCTTCTGCACAGCCCGTGAGAGTCCCTAATAATTCAGAGACACTCTCGGCAGCACTTTTTTTTCATTTTTATTACCTTTTAAATGGCCAGTTTCAGCTTCTGATGAGCTGTACAATAAAACCTGTCACTTTTTAAGGACAGCTGGTATCGGTGAGATGGATTGCAGTGCCCTGGACAGGTCTATAAATAGGTGAAGCTACAGACAAACATCTCCTCCAAGGTGAAGAGGAGGGAGCGAGCAGGCGTCTCCTGACTCTGCGTGACTCTGAGGTGTAAAGACAGCAAACCCTGCTCCGCTGCGCTGCCAACAGGCTATAGACCCTGCTGTGGTGGGACAGCCTTCAGCTGTCTCTGTACTCACTGTGTAGTGCCAAAGGAAGAGGGCTTCTTCCACAGGTTTTGTCCCTTCTCCATCTAGAGCTATGACACTACAGCTCTGAAAAGTGATAGCTAACATAGAATTAATTAGAAGGGAAGTGCACGTCACACTATTGTCACCTTGGGTGTGTGAGTCCACAGCAGCCTTCTGGCTAAACGAAGGCTGCTTTCCAGGACCCTGAAACTAATTGTGTCTTCTCCAAATTGCTTTTACGCTTTAAGGACAGAAAGTCTGTCCTGGCATTCAGAGGGAAGACCTTAATTCCGATACTCCGTTTTCCCCAGAAGACAGGGAGGACGGGAAGTGGCCGAGATCTGGGAAGTGGCTGAGCTCTCAGTACGGTCAAGGGAGAAGTTCTTGGCAGTTTGCTAAGGACAAACAACCTTCTAGTTTTTCATCCCAACACTTGCAGTTGCATCTGTGAGCACTGTGTGGTGATAAAAGACGTAAGACTACACATCCGATCCCTAATAAAAAGCTACCCATCAACGTTCAGCCTGCCACCCACTGAGTCCAGCCTAAGTCTGATGCAAGCTGTGTCCTAGTGAGTAAAGAGGCTGAGTGGGAGAATCTATTCACCACGTCTAGAATTAGGTGGGCAAACGACAGCTGAATGCAAAGCTTCTTCCCTTATTAATTTGGAGGGCAGCTGGGACAGGCAAAAGCAGAGGACAGCACAGGGGCAGTGCTACAGTGCACGCTGTCGGAGCAGGCTCACGGAGAAATGCTGCCCACAGCGGTTCCAAGTCTCACCTACGGGTAAACCCACTGGGATTAAAGCTTCTAGCAAGCAACACTGGAAGCCGCCTGCACCGTGTGCCCGTCAGCTGCCTTTGGACTGCAAATACAACGCAGAAGCTTTTATACCGTGAGGATGTGCTGGGCCTGAGATGAAACAGCTGATCTTACGCTGACTCATTCCTACGCTGGAGGAGCAGGCAGTTTGAACAAGCCCTTATTTAGCACAGTAATTTTTACCCATTCTTATTTTGGCATCCCATGCGGCTCCTTGCAGCAGAGTGTTGGGTTCCCCACGCAGGGGGTTCAATTCTGCGCGTGGGGTTGGGTGGTGGGATACACTCATTGCTCCAAGCAGAACAGGAATGGGAGAACAAGGTATCTACCCTGGCACTTGCGGGGAGGGCTGCGGTCAGAGCCACAGGCGAGCTCCTTGGACAAATGACCACATTTGCTTCCAAAACTGGCTGGAAGCCCAGGTCGCTAGCATCTTTAAAGCTTAACAGTACAGAGCGGTGGGATGGCTGGCAAGACCTGAGCTGGGCCGGCCTCAGCGCAGCACTTACTTGTCGAGGCAGGCAACGCTGAGGCACTTTTCCTGGGGCTGAGGCTGTGTGGTGCTGTCGCCGGCTGCAGCGGTCGTAGTGCTGGGTTCATTCTCCTGCAGGATGGAGTCAATGAACGTGGAGGGGGACAGAGGAGTTTCAACAGCAGGAGGGTTCCCTGGGCTGACCTCCTCTATCTGGGGGCTGCGGGCGGGACTAGGGGGTTCTTCTTTGATACGGACCACAGGACTACTCCTGAGAGAAACAGAAAGAAAACTGGTAAAAATCTCACGGTAACACATTCTCGATTTCTAAGATCTGCTTCCACACAATAGGGCAAAAAATCCTCGTGACTGCTGTTGCCTTTTCACATACAAAGCCTCCAGAGCCAGCTACAAAGATGAGGTTGAACGAGTACCTAAATATTTCTTCTCCGATTCTGATCCTAATCAGCTCCCCTGACACATCGATGTCTTGCGCTGTTACTGCAATCTCAGCCTATTTCTTGTGGCTAAAGGCTTGTGAGGCTGCTCAGTCCAGGAGCTGCCATGCAGTCAGCTCTGTACAGGTAAAGTTACTGGAAGGAGGGTGTGATTTTTCTTTAACAGTACAGTTAAAACAATACAGCTTTTGATGTGGACATAGTCTAAACAGTACAGAAGTAGCACAGCGTATATACCCTTTTTTAAAGTCACCACTGAGACGTGCATGACATAATCATCACCATACCAGAGGCTGTAGTGTTTTAACTGCTCCCACAAGGTCAGCGGAGTGACTCCTTTGTGCAGACAAAGCCTGGGATCGACCTTTTACATAAGCACCCAGGCATTTTCAGATGTACTATTTTTATGGGAAGGGAAGATGGCTTCTTCGGTCAGCTCTAATTTTACCACTCAAACTCACTGATATGGGGGTGTAAGAGGCGCAATTAGTCCTACTGGAAAGGACAGCAACTACAAAAGGACAGAGAAAAGGGCCGTTAAGCAAACATATGGTCTATATTTAAAAGCGAGTGTTCCTGGCAGAGGGTACTGAAGGCAGTAAATGGCATTTGTGGGTGATTCAGCACCTCAGGGGAAGTGCCAATGCCAGGAATAACCTATTAAAGAGGAAGAAGAAAAGGAGTCGGGAGACCACAAGGTGCTAAGGGAAAGACGGGCCCTTCTTAACCCGGGGAGGCTCAGAAAGTTCGAGAGCCGCTGATGCTTGGTGGGAGCGGGGCTGCAGGGCGTAAGGGCTGAACAGCCACATCGAGGGACGCAGCGGGAGGCTTTCACTGATGCAGAATGGCGTCGGCAGAGGCACACGAGGCTGAGTATTACCTACGGCATCTGAGGACAGTTCTCACCTCTGCTAGGGCCGGTAAATCTGACGGAGTTGAAAACACTGCTGCTGGGCGCTGGCTGACCTGTATTTGCTACAGATTCTCAGCCTCTTCACCCGTGCTGTTTGGGATAGAGCTGTCATTGTTATTCTCAGTTACTTGGGAACGAAGCTGCTTTCTGCACCTCCTCCTCTGTGCAGCAAGTTTATAAGGGCAGGGCGAAGCTAACCCCGCTCCCAGGATGTTGGTAGTTTCACAGGACGGAGCACACAGGCCAACGAAGACGGCTTCCTTGTGGAAACCAAACTGTGACCCACCCCAGACAGGTTCACACTAGACGGGGCAGGCAGAGGAGTGAGTGATGTTTGGAAAAGAGAATTAAAGCTGAACAAACCCAACCAACCAAACAAAAATCTGCTGAGATGGCAGCGTCCTGAATGAGACTATCCGGGAGGGACAGGTCCAACTTTCTGTAAAGTCCTGGTAAAGGGAAGCAGGACTGAGTTCAAACACCCTGAACGTCCCCTGTGCCAAGGGCTGTGCTGTTTTCCAGCTGTCGCTCACGGGGGATTCTTGACAGAAGAGGCACGTTTTAATGGTGTTTGACTACTCAGCTCATTGGGAAACGCATCCTCCCTATGCAGATAGCTTCAGATTTTACGAGAGCAACAGCATACCTTTCATCGAGACTGCCGCTGGGAGATGCCGAAGGGCTGGACTGGGCTAGCTCGGTCACGTCGGAGATAATGGGACCAGAGTTGGCTGAAGAATCCGGGGAATACAGGTTGGAGCCACTATATGCTGGGGAAGAAGCCTGAAATGACAATCACAGCATTCGCGGTGTGAAGCACTAGGCACGTATCGTACGCTGTCCCATGTATGGGAGATGGAGCGGGAGGAGGCACATCAGAACAGCCCCAAGCCCTGACCCACCCAAGGAAGAGGGCAATGTGGGACTCAACACGATGCCTAGAAACACACTGTTGCCAACCCAAAGCACTACTAAAAAAAACAAAATTGGACTTCTGTTCTGTAAACTTCATTTTCTTGGAAAGAATGGAATCTAAAAAAGTAAAAATACTGGATTCTTTTTCTGGATCATTCAACACTTGGGTTTTTAGAAACCCAGATTTTCAGCTTTCCCCTTCCACTAAAACTCTATTCTTTTTCTCTTAAATGAAAGCTGAAATTCATACGACTGAGACCTGCAGATGTAAGATACACAAGATTTCCATGCTGGTAACAGCAACATGGAGTGGTTGCATTCTGGCATCAATCTTTCTGAGGAGCAAATTAATTGAGACATCTGAGTGAACCCGAATCCCCTTTCCTCTTTGCGTATCAGCATTTGTCACTCCAGGACACAAAGCAAACTGCAGATTAGAAGGTGCACCCAGGAGTCAGGAAACCACGGGGGACGAGGAGAATACAGGGTAAGAGATTCTGCTCAAATTCTCACAGCTGCCCTTAGCTTTGAGCCGATCCACGATCTCACTCACTCTCCTCCTTCGGAGCTGTCTCCTGACACTTCAGGCAGTCCGTGATGGTAACACTGAGTGGTAGCTAGAGAAAACCCTGGTCCTTACTTACCTTCAGATGAGCATTTGACTGTCTCTCCTTTCATGCTTGCCCGTCCTGCCCACACTGTCATTTGGCTTACACCAGCACTGCGTTAACCTTCTTGATCACCGCTTAGCGCAGTCAAGACCACGGTGCACATACGCCCCCTCAGCTCCCTCATCATTAAAAAGAATACTAAAGAATAACCAAATGTAATTCCATCTCACTGCATGCCAGCTGGTGCACAGGGGCACGCGGAGATGCTCTGCAGGCTCTCTGCCCGCAGGCTTGCCTTGAGAGGTTGGATCCCCACCTCCGTATGCACGAGCCTCCTACCCGGTGAGGAACCTCTCCTGTGAGCATGAGCGTTTCTGCCCGGCGCTGTGCTCACCGACACATCAATAAAACCAGCAGCCACCGATTTGAAACTTGTATAAAACCTGAAGTGCCAGCTGTGCACAGCACGTGCACCGAGGAGCCTGCAGACAGCACGCGGCCCTTGTAACACACCATTGTGCCCTGTTCTGGGCACATGACTTTTGGGCTGCCGCTTGTTTCTGCAAGTCTGAGGTTGCATTCTCGAGCAAAAAAGGGCACGATGATGTGGCAGGAGTTACACAGATGCAGAAGCACTGGGGGCACGGAGAGAGCTGCTGCTTTGCAGCAGTGACGTGGGATCAAGCCCCAATGAGGGGCGCAGGATTGATCTCAGCCATGTCACGGTCAGGACTGCCCAGGCCTCACCCGCACCGAGGTCTTACTCCACGTTAACTGTCTTCTTGTGAAAACACAATTATTTTTTTTCACTGTCAAAGCAGGGACTACGGCAGCGTCAGGATCCAGCGTACTTGTCGGCAGCTCGCTCTGAAAAATTGCCCAACTATCATTTCTCAGTTCTGTTTGGAGCCGAAAATCATAACGCTGAAGTATGAGAAAAGATGACCACCTGTGTTTCCCATAATTGGGACAATCCGGTAATACCTGGAAGAGCTCCCGGTGGTTCTGTGTAAGTATTTGCTGCATGCAAGAATAAAGGCACTTTTAAAAAAGAGATCACAGGATTAGACGGGCGCTGGAACGGGAACAGAGAGCTTCCACAGAGGGTGGTCTAACTGCAGGAGAGCTCTTTAATGGGGCTTAGCTATTTTGGTTCTCTGCTAAAAAATTCATCAGGATCACCAGGGCAGCTCCATGTCAGGAGCCAGCGGCTTGAATCCGCTGTCCCGAACAGGACGTTCCCGCAGCAGCATGGGCGGGACTGTACCTTGGAATTGGGGACAGCTTTTATTTTGCTACAAACAGCCGGTATGAAAGCTTAGCTATGTTCCCAGCTGTAAAGGCTTGCTCCTGGACTACAGCATTGCCAGAGGATCAGCATAAAGAAGCACACTGATTCACGCAACAGCTTTGGCCAAGAAACGCCAGCTGGCTTTCCCATGCCAGGCAAGCAGGGGCGCCGCAGACCAAGAGGGACACCCCGAATTTAAGTGGTGCAGTTGCCCAGGGCACACACTGATAGGAACCAGATCAAACAGAGCATCTAAAATGAAAACAACCGTGTCAAGACATGAGATGTAGTGGATTAGCATAGGCCTGAGGTGATTAAAAGCAAACAGTTACCAAATGTGTCACACCTCTCTTATCAGCAGTAAGTGCTGAGCCAGCCAGCTCGCCCTCAGGGAGTGCCACCAACGCGGCTTTCCAGCTCTTAGGGCACGGGATGAGTCTTCCAACCCTTGCGGTAAGTCAGAGCCCACAGTTCGAGACCTGCACGGCACGAAGACGGGCAGTTCTCGGCATTCAAAGCATCGTGCAGTGTCATGACAACAGGGTTTACGTGCAGGCACACTGCAGCTACCAGGTCGAAAGGGAAACCGCAGTACGAGCGACCCCACTCCCCTCCCCTGGCTCGTGAGGCCGAGCAGACTCAACACGCACAGGCCTGGGAGCAAAGCCTGTAGCTCATCTGAAAGAGGATTCAGGGCCAGCATTAAGGGGTTTGGAGCAGACTCCTTCTGTTCGCTGGCCATTCAACAGTCAGGGGAAGCAGCACATCAAAAGGTGCACAGAAGGATGGGAGAATATAGACAAAACCTCAGGATTCTTTGGGATCCAGCAGCAATCTGAAGGACAGTCCAGAGCGTACATTTACAGAGACTCCTCCTGTAACGCCGTGTCACTGTGAGGCCACCTCCTGCAGGCACCCGGGCGAGGTGCACCCTGGAGCTAGGCAGTTCCACGGCATTCACCCACCGTGATGAGGCCAAGGTCTGAACAACGTCCACATCGAACTATGAACCCGTTTCTTCTGGACTATACATTGACGACGTCTCGCAGGAGATCCCTTCACCTCGAAAGCTACTGCCTGCTCTCTCATCTCAAGGCTTTAATACCACACAACCTTCCTTACATTGGGGATCATTCTGTGCACAAGCACCAGCTGGCTTTGCTCCGCTCTTCCCACCTTGCTCCCTACCTCCACGGACACAATTCAGCTCTGATCACTTGGGTCTTTGCTACTTCAGGCCTGTGTCTCAGCCAGGCTCTGACCCACGGCACCTTCCCTGACCGAAAGGAGGCTTCTCTGGAGGGAATAATGCTGATTATACATGGTCACACATTAATTAGGCAGCATGAGCAAATGTTTAGCAGGGATTGACTGACATCAGATGCATTTTGTTTGTGACAAAACCAAAACAAGGACCAAGTCGGCAGAGGGAAGCTAAGCAAGAAGGCACCACTTCAACCCATCTCTGCTTTCCGTGGAACTCAAATCACTCCTTGCTTGGTCTGCAAGCCAAATCCTCGGCCCCGTCACAACTATCATTGAGAATTACCAGCTAACAGCTCTCTCCCCGTTGGCTAAGCTAGAATGCAGCTGCCACCTTAAAATACTTTGCCAAACAAAACAAAGAGGTTGTGAGCAAACGGTTGTACAAAGGCAAGACCAGCTGGAGAAGAGCCTAAAACGGGTCCCTCCCCACGAAACTGTGTCCTCGTCCCCCTCTCCAAGGCCAGGCGTGCACGGCGTACTTACTGCGTATGGGGATGAGCCGTGGACATGCTCCAAGGAGTACTGGCGACTATATTTCGGCATGGAATGTGCTGAACTGCTGTCGTTCAACATCAGGGGGCTGCAAAAGATTCCCAAACACCACAGGAGTTACCGCCCTGCCGGCACCGGGTCTTGGGCACCACCTCTTCCCGGCAGAGCCCACCGCCCCAACCCCAGAACTGGGTACTTGCACCCACCCGAGGGGCCAACGCACAACCGTCCCCAGGTCTGGATGCCCTGGAGGGGCAAGTGGCCACGGGGGGTGGTTGTGTCAGTACAGCAGAGCAGGCAGCCCCACGACACAGAGGAACACAATGAGCCCCCGTGACCAGCCCCTGGGCTACATTTTGCAAGTCTATTGAGCAGAAATGTAAAACCTCAGGCCTCAGAGGACTTCTTTATAGTCCCTGGTCACCTCCTTCTGCAGGCCTGTATTGTCAGTGCTCTGCTTCGCTTCACTTCTCCACGGCCAACTGCTCCAAAGATGGATTACTTGTGGTCAGCTGTGACACAACCACTTCTGTGGCCCTTTTCATGTACTTGAGTACTGTGGAGAAACTCTTTCTCCTTACAAGATAAATCATTTCAGCATGTCTTGGACATTATCACCATATAAACCACTATCTTCATTAATAATAATCAAGCCTGCTGTGGTGTTGTCTGCCATATGGTGCTGCTGGGCACTGTTCAAACACAAAAGGACAGCCCTGCAATTCGACAGGCAACACGGGACAAGGTGGGGGCCCGAACAGACACACAACAGAGTATCTGCCAGTTCATATGTGAACAAGTGCAAAAAATCAGGTGGAGGAGGAGCCCATCTCACAGGATGAGACTGGAAGAGCGGGGCCCGTTCAGCCTGGTGGAGTGTCAGATGAGACATAACACGAGAACCATGTAAAAGCCAAGGAGGGAAAAGCAACTGTGCTACAGCACAGTCCTGGGACAAAACCAAGCAACTATTAACTGGCCAAAACAAATTAGCCTGGAATCGTTCTTAATCGCTTATGGTACTTAAGTACTGAACGGTCATCCAGCACAACTAGCAAGGGGCAAAATAATCCACAGCACATTCGAGGACAGGCTTGATTAGTCTGTGAAGGCGTCACAGCAGCCTGTGACAGCAGGAGGCTGGTCTGGATGGTCCAATGTTTCCCTTTCCGTATAACGACAGAAACATCACGGCAGTGCCAAGAGACTGTTTTAGCAGTGCAAGACCCCAGCCCTCACTATGTATGCTGCCATAGCGCAGCGGCGGTTTCACATAGTGCAGTGGTTAGCTATGAAGTAGGTTCTGCACGGGCTTATGTGGCCTGGATCGCAAACCCTTCTTGGTATCAGTTGCATAGCAGTGTTAGCTGGTTTTGGCTGGAGCAAGTACTTGAAGGCTCACATGATCCCAATGACCGCTGTCCAGTCCTACCCCACTGGCAAGGCTGCTACAGAAGACAGAGATCTGGGGGACCCACTCTGCTGATCCTCTCTTTATTCTCTCAGACAGGGAATCTTTATCTGGATGTAGAAATGCAGACTTACATCTTCCTCTTCACCCCAAGAATACGGTTGGATTGCACCAATGAAATCAAAAACTGGATAAGCTGTGAGGAGAGAGAAGGAAAACCTGTTATGGTGTGCACAGTACTTGGATAAGCACAGACAGAAATAGCTCTGGGACCACTCGGTCCCTGTGCTCGGAGCAGAGCCAGAGCTGGGCACAGGGGGACACGGCAGAGCGCTGACTGCAACTCTAAGCACAAAGGTGAAGGCTCGGCGTAAAACCATTACGTGGCGGCCAACTGAATTCTGCATTGCAACGCTGCCAGCCCGAATTTAGCCTCTCCCCGCTGGATTTCCAGAATCTCACGGTAACAGGAAGAAAACACAGTGATCAAAATTATTCTTAAACAGAATGAATGCCACTGCATCCCACCGATCCTGCAAGTGCCCAGCCTGGTCACTACATCACCGCATACACGACCACAAGCGCGTCCTAATCCCTGCGTCTGGAAGGCCAGGATTTACCTTATTGACAACTTTCTGCTGCTGAGCATGCTTCTGCCTCAAGCTGGCTACTTCCCTCCACAACGCCTCATTCTCACTGCAAGAGAAGAAAAAGCCATCTGAGAAAAAACCGCAGCCTCTCAGGCAGAGCAAATAAAGCACGGGGCAAGCTGGAAAACTGCAGCAGGGGATTTGCCGACATCTCCAGATACTGGCTCATTTACAACCTCCTGGGGCTGCGGGTGAAATTGCGTTCATTAACTTTGCTTTGCCATCATTTTAGTTTGCACAGCTCCAGAAACAGCAGCTATTCACACGTGGGCAGTAACACAGAGCCCTACCCAGAGCGAGCGAGCAGTTCACATCTGCTACAAGCCATTACTGTGCCCTTGTGGAAAGGCCCCTGGTGACCGAGCTCAATCTCCTTGATCTAGCCCAGGTGCACGCAGGGCCGGCTATAAATCGGCTTCTCTAGGGA